GAAAGAAGGATGAGAAGACTTTAGACGCCAGGCTCACAGACATGGTTTTAAATGAGGGGGGAAAACCTCCCTCCCTCTGCCCCAACGGCCTGCTGGACAGTGACAATGAGGGAGAGGAAGAGGAGGAGGAAGAAGAAGAAGAGGAGGAGGAGGAAATGAGTATTTCAGATAAAGAAGGGCCTGTTCTGCCTGAGGATCTTCACTATGTGTTTGATAAGATGATTTTCACCGGTGGAAAGGTAATAATCTCCATTCACCCGTAGTGATGATGCGGTTTTGAACTGTTTGTGATAGAGGTCATTTAAGATAAGATACACCTTTATTAATCCCCGTACGGACATTCAGAGCAGCAACAGCAGTAAGACTGAGACGCAGGATAGGAAAGGTAAGAGTTCGCACAAGGATAATAAGAAAGAAGAGTTCAAAGTATGAGGAACCGTATAAATACAAATTAAGGATTGTTTACAGATATGAATATATTAAACATTTATACTTATCATCAGCACCCAGAGTTCTACAATACCTCATACTTAAACAAAGACCAGACAAAAACTGATGTTTATAAATGTATGTGTACAAACCATACACTTTATATGGTAAATTGCTACTGTCTTTATGTCAAATCACGTTATGTTGAGTGCAGACAGAGAAGCTAGCATGATCGATACATTTTGGGTCAAGTCAACAGACTTGTGACTTGACTTGGCTTTCACTGTGCTGTGTGTCTTCGTATGATGTCATGAAACCAAACACAACGTATCTAGGACTTCCACCACATGTAAAGTACCAAAAGTAGTTATTTCAGCCATTGCGGATGAAGTGTTGTTGGTATCTATATCCAGATAAGCCGAGTTCCCTCGCCGGTGCGCCTAGTTTGAGTGACGCAAGTATAGATAAATGATGCAGCGGTCAATTGCGCGAGTTAAACAAAAGTAAGTAAGGCAAAAGACGCTTTGTGTCCTGTTTGAGTGTTTTTAACATATGAGTCCATACGCTTGCTTCAGTGCTTGTTTTAGAGCATTTGGCCCACACATATATGTTTTGTAACAATGTACAGTACAGTGTTTGCCCTAGGTTTACTGCTTTGGTGGGTGCTGCCAGGGTGGGATGAGGGTGATTTGTGCAGGGGGGGGGAAGTTACTTTGGGCTATAATGCAGGTTTGTTTTACTTTTTTACACTTTGTTCTCCTCCTTTCCTCCGCTCTTGTCTCTGACTGTGAGTGTGTGCATTCGTGTGTGTGTGGGGAGCGGAACCCCACCCTTCGGAATCAGAGCGGAGGAGAGAATGTGAATGTGCAAATAGGCTGCAACAAACGACTAATTTGATAATCGATTAATCTATCGATTAATTAATCGATTATTCGGATCGTTAAGCTTTTAACTGTACTACTACTTGTATCGATCCGGTCCTTTAACGGTACTCTTAACGGTTCTTTTGAAAAAAAACAAGGTAAACTAACTAAATAAATTGTTAACACAATTAACATTGCTTTTTATTTAAATAAATAATATTTCACATCAAAAGAAACAACAGTGTTTTAACAAATCGTATTAAATAATCTGATGACAGACTGTAAACAGAATAGCTGAAACTTTAACAAAATAAATAACTCGGTTACCTCTAGTCATTAACCCATGTTTGTATAATGTAGTTAACTCCGTGTGTTGCTGCTAGCATACATAACACCTGCCGTGGAAACGTTACTCGTGGATGGAGTTATAGAGCTAGAAAGACCCGGTGCATTCCTCCGTCTGAATGTGGTGCACTTTTGCTAAAAAAATGTAGACGAATTGCTCGTGTTACCCCCTTACATGCTAAACTCTTATTGCACTCTTGGTAACGAGCATTGTCCACATCGAGACGGGTAAAGTTTAACCACACCTTGGAGCGCTTCTCTCCGCCATCTCCGGTGTGTGTGTGTTGCATGGATGTTGCAGAGCATGTGTGTAAACTGCCCCGCCCCCTCGCACACAGACGGGGGAGAAATCTCTCGTCTGGATTGGAAAGATCAGAAATACATCATTTTGTAGTCTTATTGCATATTAGAAACTGAGTTGGCGACACTAAGACTGCGATATAATGTTTATGTAGCAATAATACATATGGCATATATGTTTTAAATGTCTCCAGTACCGATAACGTTGGAGCTTAACTGCCTGTGAAACACACGTGATGACGTCACCAACGAATCGATGACTGTCTTAGTTGGCAACTAATTTGGTAATCGATTAAGTCGATTAGTTGTTGCACCCCTATGTGCAAAGCAATGCAGTTGACACTGAAACATGCACATACATTGGATAAATAACATAAGGGTCATTCCAGAATTGGTGGACATTTCATGTCCCCCATATAATAAAATCTAATAATCCATGCCCAAAATGCTAAAACATGCACTTTTTGTGTTAAACATACTTGTCTTGAGACAAAATGTATATAAAGTTGTAGAAAAAGTGGTTTCAAAATATTATTTAAATTATCAAATAGCTCTCGAACATCCTCTAAAATGGCATTTTTCTCTTGTCCCCGCTTCTTGGTGACCAACTTGCATATCAAATATAACATTTAAAATAGGGATTTTATTTACTTTTTTTGGTATTATTCTATTGATATATGTCTCTTGGTATGGTAAAATCAATTTGTTAAATTATAAACATATTTTAAATAACAGTAATTTTGCACAGAAGGTGTGTCCCTCAACATGCGTTCAACCCTGTTACCCAAACCTTTTTAGATTGGCACAGGAAGTGAAAAAACTGTAAGTCAGATGACACAGTGGAAGTGACATCAGCAAGCCATGTGCTAGTGCCATGGGTAGACCACAACTAAGTCCTCTCTTTCATTTGAAAGTAGCATTACATGCTACATCTAGCAATAATTCCTGAGGTTAAAGGCTTAAAGCTCAAATTAGCATTGATTTTCAACCCTGTTACTTTCAACCCTGTTACTATAATTAGAGTAACAGGGGTAATTCTTCATTGGAAAATATACATTTCATGCCTAGCTGGGCAAATCACTTTTTTTATTATCTGTTTTTCCTAAATACATTAAAAAAATAAATAAAATAAAAGGTTCATTTTGTTGGTGTTTAAATTGTCCTCCAATTCTGGAATGACCATAAGCGTTTAGTTTATTTAATAAAAGAGCACATGTTCAATGTGAAAAGTGACCGTAGATAGATTATTTTAGTTTCGATTTGGCGCTATATATATATATGTATATATATGTTCCGTTGCGCCACCGCAAAAAGGTGTTTTATATTTTATATATATATATATATATATATAATATATATATATATATATATAAAAGCACCTTGAATTTCAATGGGGGCGCGGTGTTCCGTTGCGGTGGCGCAGCGCCCCCCCAAGACAATGGTAGGGGAAACACTGCAGTAACACATGCAGGATTGTTAAAAACATTTTGGAATGATGCCACTATTTTGCTCTTACTTTTTAAAAGCCGTCTTGTGTAATCATGTCATTCATGCTCTTCAAACATTTTTCCCTCAGCCTCCAACTGTCGTGTGCAGCATCTGCAAGCGGGACGGCCACCTGAAGGACGAGTGTCCTGAAGACTTCAAGAAGATCGAGCTGAAGCCCCTGCCTCCGATGAACGAGCGCTTCAGAGAGATCCTCGATGGGCTCTGCAGATTGTGCTTCTGTACGTCATCAAAATGCATCTCTGACTTCTCTATCAATTTCCTTTTTATTCTGAGATGTGTGTTCACTTACACATTTGAACAGCTGGCATGAAAGACAAAGACATATTTTCTGCCTACATTAAAATCAATCAATTTCCATACCTCTGTGTGATTGATCTTTTATTTTCTTATTTGCAGTTGAATTGTCTCCCTCACACGCTGAGCAGCAGAAGAGGGACAGATCCTCTACAGCCTGGAGAGGTTTATAAGGAAGGAGTACAACGGTGAGCATTAAGTACATGCCTTTTTCTTTTCAGTGGGTCAAACCAGCCCATCATTTGGTCACACCTCCTTTTTGGTACAATATGGTAGGTGGCCCTTTCATCCTCAGTGGCTTCGGAGTTGGAAACTTCTCAGATATGGACCAAAGCCTTTATGCATGTTCCTCCTATAAAAAGAGAATCAGGCCTTTATTTCTAATGCAATCGTTCATTCAAAAAGTAAATAGAAAAGCTCCAGCAGTCTGTAAAGGGTCACCAGTTCAAGTCCTCATCGGACCGTGTACAGATTGTATTTGTGGCTGAAGAGCTGATGGGTCACCTCCTGGGAAATGCCGAGGTGCAGAACGTTTGCAGAATTTGTTGACAGAATATTTTATTCTCATTAAAAGGATTTCCAATCATGACGGCGAATGCGTGTTTGTTAATTGGATAGAAATAAGAACCTATCCCTGTGTCTGTATCCTCAGATAAAGCTCAGCTCTGCTTGTTCGGCTCCTCTAAGAACGGCTTCGGCTTCCGTGACAGCGACCTTGACATCTGCATGACTCTGGAGGGCCATGACACTGCAGAGGTAGGCCCACTAAGCAAACACACACTGCCATGTAATGCAACTCACGTATCCGTAATGGGATGAGATATGTGACCCTTACATTCTTTCCATTAAAAAAACATTTTGATCTGTCCAAACAGATGCTGAACTGCAAAGAGATCATTGAAGGACTTGCGAAAGTGCTTAAAAGGCATACAGGTGACTTAATGTTTTACTGATTATGTCTTTAATAATTGTTCTTTTTGTGCCACAAACAGACTGGTTTTTATCTCCCATGTACCCAATATCACAGGTTTGAGGAACATCTTGCCTATCACAACAGCTAAAGTGCCTATTGTGAAGTTTGAACACAGACAGAGTGGTTTGGAGGGAGATATTAGCCTTTATAACACGCTGGTGAGTGCACAAGAACCTTCCTACGGTGCTATAGAACATGCTTTGACAAGCTTTTTATTTATTGAAAGTGCTGTCGTCGCAATCGTCCCTGTAGGCTCAACACAACACCAGGATGCTGGCTGCATATGCAGCCCTTGATCTACGCGTGCAATTCCTCGGATACACGATGAAGGTCTTTGCAAAGGTATGTGAAAGTGAACAAACTGAGAAAGGAACAGTTCTGTTTGCAGTGGTCTGTGTGAGTTCTTCCCCAACAGAAAGGTGTCTGTCTTCATTTAAAGGATATTTACGAGCCTGGAAATGTCTGATAACTACATCATCCTGTAAAGAATTTACAAATTGCTGATGCAACTCTATACCTGGATAGAGTTGCATCAGCAATTTGTAAATTCTTTACTAAATGTATGTGTAAAGTTCCTGGTCTTCCAACTAGTGGTTCACTTTTTATGTGTGCTACATTAAAACTCCAGCGTTAAGCCAGTATATTCATTTGTAACAGCCAGCCCTTGTCAATTAGAATTAGAATCTTCTGCAAATCTTTTGTCCCCTGCTGTGTTGCTAACCTGCCTCTGCACTCACAGCGCTGTGACATCGGGGATGCGTCCAGAGGAAGCCTCTCGTCTTACGCTTACATCCTGATGGTGCTTTACTTCCTGCAGCAGAGGCAGCCGCCCGTCATTCCCGTCCTGCAGGAGGTACCAGTCACCCATTTATTACCAAACCCTTTTAAACTCAGAAGAAATTACACTTTTCTAACAGGGACAGTACACAAAAAACAGAGGCCCTATGATGCTTTTTGGGGTCTTCCCTTCCTGTAGTGTGTTATATAGGTTTTGTGCATGTTAATTGTCAATGTAGGCTAAAATCATGAAGTGCCCTTCCAAGGGAGTTTCTCTCCCACACACTCTTCTCCTGCCATGAAACGCCTCCATTGGACTCCTTTTATTTACGTTTGTAACATAGTGACATCACAATGTAACACTAGAGCTTTTACTGGCTAAGGTTTGTTTATTTATACGCACATTTCAGACACAAAGGCAATAACACATGACAATTACAAACAGACTGGGCTCTGGTTTCTGACAGAGTGAAAAGAGGTGCTGCAGCACAGGCAGTATGAGAGAAATAAAGAGCTTTTTGAACATAAAGCATGGAGACATTCCCAGAGAGGAACAAATATGAACCTGAAAATGAGCAAAATAGGGTTCCTTATTTTAAGCAATAAGCATTTCTGTAAATGTGCTAAAGTCACCCTTAAACTATATATAATGTTTTTAATTGATTTGAAACTTGCAACATAACGGGTCACAAAAACGGAACATGCCAATTAAAAAAAATAACATAAAGAACATCCATAGACGACCCACCTGTAAATAAAATGAAATAAATATATCTGTCTGATGTCTCTTTAGATCTTTGATGGGAACGCTGTCCCTCAGCGCATGGTGGATGGCTGGAATGCTTTTTTCTGTGATGACCCGGAGGATTTGGTGAGTTGACAAGGGTGTCCTTTGGTTCAGTATTGCATTTCTGACATTATCTATATTTAATCAGTCTGCTTTCATATATGTTCAACTATATCAGCCTCAATCTGGAAAATGTATTAAGTGCGTTTCTTCCGTCACAGCGCCGGCTTCCGCAGCCAAACACAGAGTCTGTCGGAGAGCTGTGGCTGGGACTCCTGCGCTTTTACACTGAAGAGTTTGACTTCAAAGAGCATGTCATCAGCATCCGCCAAAGAAAACGCCTCACGACCTTTGAGAAACAGTGGACCAGTAAATGCATCGCTATCGAAGGTGCTCACACTGATCTCTCCGTCTTCACCTGCTTATCAGCGTAACACGCTTGGTCTTCTTTGTACTTACTCTTCTGTTCTTCTCCTCAGATCCCTTTGATTTGAACCACAATCTCGGTGCTGGAGTTTCTCGCAAAAGTAAGTGATGATTCAGATATTTCTGGTATTAAGTACTATTTAAAGGGGCCCTATTATGTTTTTTCAGGTCTTCCCTTATTTGTAGTGTTTTATATAGGTTATTGTTAAAGTTCCCTCCAGAGAGTTTTCTCTCCCTGAAATGCCTCCATTGGAGTCCTTTGTTTAGCCGTACCATAGTGACATCCCTACGTAATACTCAAGCTTCTACTGGCTACCGCTCCAACCCATTGGATGTGATAGGCTAAGGGGCGGGACCATCTCTAAGCGATTGACCAATAACAACAGGCAAGCTAACCAATCAGAGCAGAGCAGACTGGGCTCTGGTTTCAGACAGAGGGTGAAAAGAGGTGCTGCAGCACAGGCAGTGTGAGAAAAATAAAGAGTTTTTTGATCATTAAAGCATGGAGACATGTCACAGTAGAGGCACAGTTAAAAATATGAACTTAAACATGTGTATAATAGTGTATGTGTATTCAACACGAAATGCAGTCATGGCAGGGAGAAATAAAAAAGGCCCTTTGATTTTATAGCATACTTATTATTTTGTGAAAAAGCTGTTTTGATGCAGAGATTGTTTTTCTCAATGCATTGAGAGAGCTATTGAATTATCTAGCGTAATTCCGAGGATTGATTTTAATAACTTGTATCTATGCGAAACTCTGCGCAGCCGTATTATCTTAAAAAAAAAAAAAAAAAATACTCAGCATGAGCAGATTTTCAAAATAATATGCCCAATAATATCGACAAATGGTCTTGTTCTGATTGTCCTTAGTTTCTGTGATTAATCCTGTTCACCAATAACCAATTTAAGGACGTTTTATTATGCTGTTTGATTCTGTGCACTTGGGTTCTGGAAGAGTGATCTGTGTCGCCTCTAAACCTGTGAACATGTTCCTTTTGCTTCCTCTAGTGACTAATTTCATCATGAAGGCCTTTATCAACGGGAGGAAGTTGTTTGGGACTCCATTCTTGCCTATCCCTGGCACTGAAGTGGTACGTCACTAAATGGACATAGTAATGTGTAAGCTGTGTGCTCTGTGTCCTGAGCAAACCTTTGTGTTCTGCCGCAGGACTACTTCTTTGACTCGAAGGTGTTGACGGACGGCGAGTTGGCGCCCAACGACAGGTGCTGCAGGATCTGCGGGAAGATCGGCCACTACATGAAGGACTGTCCTAAGAGACGCAGGTTGTCCCCTGTTCGTTCATGGAAATATCTCTCTCGTGCCGCTAGAATTCCAAGAAAAATATATGGAAACTACTGAGAAGTAATAAATATGTTATGAATTCATATCACTTCTACTTGGTGTGTATATATATATATATATATATATATATATATATATATATATATATATATATAGTATATGAAGATTTTTAGAGGCATAGAACTACTGTTTTATAAAAATAAAAAAAACGTATTAGATATTTCGATGTCCTGAAATATCAGTTATGATCAGATGGAAGCCTCCTTTCTAGAGAGTAGGTTCACTCACATATATGATACTTACTTAATTAAAGTATCATTGTAGCTTTCCAAAACATATTTTCAGGTCTACGGTCATTTTCTTTCTAATTGTGTGTTGTCTTTTCCATCATACAGTTAGTGATAGTTATAACAACGCATATGTGGATTCTACTTTCTTAAATGTAACCAAGCTGTTATAGCTTTTATATATAGAAACTGAACTTTTGTCATTTAAGTTTATACATTGTTCCACAGTTACATCGGCTATGAGAACATTTGATGTTTTTTATTTTAAATTGTTGACATTATTAGTCCAAACAAAAGACCATCAACATCAGACACAAAAATAGGCTTTAGATATCAGCAATACCTCAAATATAAGAAGGAAACCTTAAAACAAAACCAAATTCTGAATATTTAAATCAAATGATATAACTTCGAGCTGTTTTCTTCTCCAATTATCTTCCCTATGTGAAATGTTTCTGATCACATTTAATTGTATAATGGTAATTCCTCTTTTACTTTTAATATGTCTTTTTTTTGTTTTTCCCTCTTCTTTGTTTTTGTAATTGACTCGATGTCATTATCATCGAGGGTCCTGGGAGCACATGACAGAAGAGTTAATCCCAGAGACAAAGTGCGATTGACGAGCGAAAAGGCTTCAGAAACAAGTAGAGGCCAACATAGTAGGTTATAAACTGTTCAATTGGCGGATGCTTTCTTTCTTTTATTTATATCTCTATGGCAAAGATGATAGCTCGAGGTATGTTAAAGCCAGACAAATGTTTCAACCTTAAAGGAGTTGTTTAACTCTGTGTATTTCATTCAAATCACAACCCTTGTTTGTTGCAAGAATGTTCTGGTAGAATCAGTGATATCAAGGAGAGCCTGCGTCGTTGTCATATATTCTTCCCTTTTCTGCCTCTGACCTTTTTTCTTTCTTTGACAGGATGAAAAAGAAGGAAAATGAAAAAGACGAAGACGTAAAAGATGAGGAGCGTGAGCCAAAGGACAGACGTTGTTTCCAGTGCGGGGACATGGGTCACGTACGGAGGGACTGTCCTGAGTACCGCCACCTCAAACAGAGGACCGGCGGAGCGCCAGGTAACCACAACAGCTTTGTAATCCAAGGTTAACTTTCCTTACACTTAAAATAATACACAGCTCATCTTCAAAGCTTTATCAAATATGACCGTTTTATGGCTTCTTCTTCTTCCTCCCCAGCGCCTCACATGGTACGAAGTGTGGTGAGCTCCCAGTCCATCCCCATCCCGAAGACGGCTGCAGACTGTCCCGGGAGGACCAGACAGCCCTCTGAATGTGTGAGTACAATCACTGAAGTTAGACACTGCACTAGGGTCAGATCAACCAGATACAAAAATACTAGGGCCGGGACTTTAACGCGTTAATTAAGATTAATTAATTACACAAAAATTAACGCGTTAAAAAAATTAACGCATTTTAATCGCACTTATTTTTGCACCGCGGAACGTTTCTCACTGGATGAGTTTCAGGCGTACCGATTATACTGGAGCACCAACTAACGTTCATGACTTCAGACAACAACAAACCACAGTGAACAACAGTGGGAAATGTTGTTTTAAAAAACGGACGGATGGAAGCGTTGATAAGAGCACGGTTGTGTGCAAATTATGCAAAAAGGAATTCGCATATCACTGCAGCACATCAAGCCTCAAGTATCACCTCAATGCAAAACATATAGCAGCTAGCGTGGAAGCTAGCGTGGACGTTAGCCTCTTTTATCGCGTTCACACCATACAGTCTATGGTTCACACCAAAAAGAGCCGGTACTAAAATTAGTTAATGAGAACCTTTTTACCCCCACCAAAGTCCCTGCTAGAGAGCAGAGAGCTGCTAGAGAGCAGGGACTTTCGTACGGCTCTCTTGTGAGAAAAGAGCTATATTTCTGATTGGCTGGGCGGATTGCAAACCACGCCCCGTAAAACTCCCAAAAAGTTTGGTGAAGCCGCCATTTTATTATCCTCGCATTAGCATTATTAGCATTAGCATTAGCCCAGCGCAGAAACGCAGAGAGACTAACTTATGGCAACACAAAATAAAACATGGGAGCGGTGGAGATGAGGAAGTGTCGGCGTTCTGGCGATTTACTCGGAAGGCTTCAGTAGAAGCTGCTGGGACTCCCAGCAGCTTCTACTGAAGCCAGTCCCCAACTCCGGGGACTTCCGGTCGGGGACTTTGGGCGGCAGTATACGCCGTGAAGTGGTTTGCGGCCTGCCAGTAAACCCAAAGCAGAAGAAGAAGAAGTGACGTCAGCGGCTTCATTTGTTCTCATGAACTAAGTTCTCATGAACCTTTGTGGGAAAAGTACTGCGGTGTGAATGCGCCTAATGGTATACTAAAATCCATGTGAAAAAAATTGCTTCTCACTGTTCTCAGGTCAAATATTTATATGCGATTAAAAATGCGATTAATTTCGATTAATTAATTACAAAGCCTCTAATTAATTAGATTAATTTTTTTAATCGAGTCCCGGCCCTAAAAAATACATATGTGAAAATATTTCTCACCCTTACCCATAAAGATGAATGTCTCCATCTAAAGACGAAGGAGGTGAATGACATTTAATTTGTTGGGCCCCTGAAAGTGAATGATTAGTTTATACCCAAATTAGATTTTATTTTTTTAAATGTCTATCAAGAAACTGAAGCCGTTTCATTTCTCAGAACGTCATCATCACCCGATAGAGGCCTAACGGCCCGTCCACACAGCGCCGTGCGTTGAAGCTTCCAACGCTTCTGCCCATTCACTTGAATGGGGGTGGACGTCACTTTTAGCCGAACTGCATTTTGGGAAGCGACGTTGGAGCGTTGCTGGCATTGCTCACTTCAAAAGTTGAGCAATGTTCAACTTTTGGCGCCTCGGCAGAAGCGTCAGCCAATGAAATCCCGTTTATGCAAATCTGCCAGTACAAGCGCTAGCCAATCAAACCGCGTGTATGCTGCGAGAGACTACGCAGGTCATTTCCTCATATTCAAAAAAATGGAGGGAAAATTCATTATAGCGGTAGTGAATCACCCGGTGCTGTATGATCAGTCTCTGTTCATCTACTGGGATACAAACCGGAGGAGCGAGGGAGGTGGCAGAGACAGTGGATGAAACTGGTAAGTTTTCGCCTGTTTGGGGATTTTATATCCAGTTTACTTCGTTTTAACATTGCTATTGCTTTGTATGTCAGGGGCGGGAGATTCATGTGATTGGTTGTTGGTCGCGTTGCTCGCAAAAAATCCCCAAGCTTCAGACACGCCAAGCGTCAACGCACGCTGCTGTGTGGACGCTCCGTAAGACGTCAGTTAAATGTTATGTTGTGCTTCTTATAGGGGCCCTATTATGCTAATTGGGGTTTTCCCTTTCCTGTAGTGTTAAAGATGTGTTGACAAATCTCAACAGAGCTGCAGCTAACCAGAGCAGACTAGGCTCTGGTTTCAGACAGAGGGTGAAAAGAGGTGCTGCAGCACAGGCAGTATGAGGGGAAAAAAGACCTTAAAGCAAAAAAAGTGCAATCCATTTAGCAAAGAAGGCGCGAAAAAAACAAGATGACAAATAATGTATCTGACGGCATTGCTTTTATGATACTGATTCTGATACCATGCCCTGATAATGCCAATAGCTCTTTTTCTTTTTTGAAATGTGTCTTGTAATCATGGCATCAGATTCAAATCAAGTTTGACTGAGCTAGCGCTTTTAAATCTCAGTTAATTCTTGATGCAAGAATGTTTCAATTTGGAAATATTACATCAACGCTTTTTTGAATTGACCACTATTTGAATATGTTTTAATATATTTGAATGATTTCTAATCCTTTCTTTCTTCTCTCTACAGTCTGATAGTCGTCAGACCCCGCCCTACTCCCCTCAGCCCACTGCTGTCCCTCAGAGTTCCTCCCCGCAGCCCTCCCACATGAAGAGCAGTCCTGCTGGTCCCCAGAAGCAGCCCGGAGGCCCCCCTCTCTCTGTTCCCCCTCTCTCTCTGTTCGGCTTTCCCCCCTCCCACCCAGGCCAGTTCCACCCGGCGGCGCTCACCGCCCTGGGGCTCCTTCCCTCGCACCAGTCCCAGGGGCAGCCTCACCACCCTGTCCACCTCTCTTCCCCCTCCTGGCCCATACACGGTCCGGTCCTCTCCACGTCCTCTCCCAGCGGCCCCTCCCCGCCCGGCCTCAAATTCGCCCTGCGTTCGGCATCAGGGAACGGGAGTCCCACAGGCTCAGGGGGCAACGCCGGCCCATTGAACCTGAACGACCCCAGCATCATCTTCGCCCAGCCGGCGGTGAGGCAGCTGGGCATGGGGCCGGGCCGGGAGGGGCACTGGCACAACCATCTGGCACAGGCAGGGGCACTCATGGGCAACGGCACTGTGGTCAAGTCAGGTATTCACCGGGTGGTCTGTGGGGGGCACTGTCTGTGTGTGACTCTGTCTTTGTGTCTTCCTGTTTCTCTATCTTTAAAAGCTGATTTTTTTTGTATATTATGTCAATTTGTTTTATTACACTCGCAAAATATTTTGGTCCCAGTCTGTAATATTAATAAAGAAGATAGTTGCCTTCAAGTTGCCAATCAACCTTAAATCAAATGTTTTTTCCCAAACATATTAATGTTAACATTTATAATTCGCATAACATTGTGCCAACTACATCTTCTAAGTGTACTTCAGATCAGCTTATAAATGGACCTTGTAGCAATAAAAATGTGTTGGGCAACATTAATCTAGTTTGCAGTTGTAAAATAGGGATTAAACCTGATGGTAGGTCACAGTAACTTGTGAGTGAACGCAGAGCCTTTGCAGCACTGCTGTAGATATGTTGATTAAAACTAAACCTGAAATATTAAAAAAGTAACTGATGCATCCAGGGTTGGACAGTTTTCAGAAGTTGTAGGGTAGCATCAATTTCTATAAGACTCAGGGAGTTTTTGGTTGTTCAGCTCTATAGTCTTCATTTGTACAGCATCTATTGCCTCAAGATAAGAAGGCTCTTGCGCTTTAAGTCCACTAACAGAAATGTTAGGATAGTCCTCTGCCAAGCCGTATTGCAATTCTACAAAGAACAGCAAAAGAAAGTATGGAGCTATTCAAAATGAATTCAGCACACAGATAGAGCTTTAAAGAGGTAAGTAGCAGTTGTTTGGGGATGAGGGTTTAATACACCACTAGTGATGGGACACTATTGGGTTTACTCAAACTGGGATGTTACCAAAACTAAATAGGTTTTATTTAAATGAACATTGTTTGTTTTGCTAGATACATTCCCAGTGGGAAAATGGGTTTGTGACAGTTTCTCCATTTTAAGAATGAAATAAATAAATGTTATAGAAACGGATAGTAATAGTAAGAATGTGCACCAAACATTTTGATAAATGTAACTCTATAAACAAGTGGAATTCTACTTCAACATTCAAAGTTGAAGTAGAATCTGGCACGTTAACTACTATATTTAACGTATATTACAGGATGTACAGTGGAGTAATGGTATTAATGCTGAATTACACAGTTTGAGAGGGTTTGCCTGCTAAAGGTGAAATCTGTCCTCATAATGTGCTTTGATCTTGTCTCCACAGAGTCAGGCCACCCCGGCCAGTTTGTGGGTGTGAACCCGGGCCCTCGGATATGGGAGCACAATAAAACTCCGCAGTACGCCCTGTCCCCATCCTGGCCCTACAGGATGCCCCAGAACTTCATCCAGCAGGGCAACGGAGGCTTCCAGCCCGGGAAACCCTTCGGCCAAGGTCAGACATGATACACATTTATTTTACTGTGGCTTACATACATATATTTATTCCCTGAGTTATCTTTTGGTTCTGATTTCTGTTGTCTTACCTTCTTTCTACAGGGTCCATGGTGCTTCCAAATCCAAACTTCCCAATGGTCCCCCACGTTCGACATCCAGTCAATCTGAACTTCCTCCAACAAAAGAAGTAATCTTGGGTTTCCTTTTTAATTAGTTTTATGGTCGGTAACAAAACAAAGACAAATTATGGACCCATCCCATGGATTTTTCAAAAGAAATAGATTTTTTCTCATTTTTGTACTGTTTTTATTTCCTGTCTCATTACATTGATTTGTGATACAAATGTCAAATATTTTAATACCCCCATTTTTGAGGGGGTCCAAAAAAGTCTTTTTATTTTATGTGTAAAGTAAGGAGGAAAAATATAAACCTTTATTTTTATTAGCTGTATTCATACTTTGCTTGCAATATGAAGGCTTTGAATAGACGTTTGTTTTAAAAACAATCTTAACTTGTCACCCTAAGTATGTAGTGCCAAAAGCAGGGATAGCAAGAAAAAAGGGAACAAAAAATAAAGAAAAAAGCAAACAACTATTTTGTGTTGTGTGTGTTCATTTCTTCATTGTTGTGTTTCTATGTAATGCTTCAGATGCACATAACCTACACTTACATGGCTATGCTATGTGCGCACTTAGTCCGACATGCTATTAAAGGACTTCAATTATGATAATGGTTATACAATTGTAGATTAGCAGGTTAATTCTAATAGTTGTGATCTTGAACATCTGCCATTGTAACAACCTTGTTGCATGTCACCTAAGATTCATGATGTTAACACTGTGAATGAGTCCTTCTTCAGCTTAACTGAAACTGCAGAGGGGTAAAAAAGAGAACAAATTGCATCATAAGCTCATTTGCATAGAGCAGATACAGCATCTGAAATGTTGGTTTCATCATGCACCTTATAATCTGGATTTACTGGACTTTGCTCGTGGAGTTCCTCAGGGAATACAGAGTTTACCTACTTGCACAAAGTAGGCAAGTGTGATCAAGGCCATATAAAACCATCAAAACTAAATGTGTTGGCACTTCGCTTTGATTTATTGTATTCAGTTTTTTGGGGTACCTTTCTACCACAAACTTGCTCGTTGGTGACCAACGTTACATAAGTAGCGTGATTACAACTTGGACAATTCCATCTGCTGAGGAAGACTTGATTAAAAGCTCTGGCAAGCATTTGTGGGATGAAGAGCAGAGTATGTGGGGTGCGCCCATGTAAAATGTGACAAGTGTTATTTGGTGGATTTGATGATTGAAGTCTGATAAATAAAGACATATTGGCAACAATTTATTGATTAACAATTTATTCATTTAACAAGCAGCCTCAGTAGTGTGTGGAAGAACCATACACAGCCACAACAGCCTCTCCTCCTCATGCTGTCACCAGCCTGCTCACACTGCTGTGGGATGGCATCCCATTCTTCAACCAGCATTTGTCCCAAGTCACCCAACGTGGTTGTGTTGGTCACTCTGGAACGGACAGCAGCCCGAGCTGATCCCACAAGTGTTCAATGGGTTTGAGGTCAGGACTGCAGGCAGTTCATTCCATCTTCTCCACTCCTACTCTATCGGTGCAGCAAAGCCTTCTCTGCGTCTTCTCCACACTGTGACCCTACGATCCATGTGCTGTAGGCATAATCTGGACTCATGGCTGAGCATAATGATCCTCCACTTGTTGAGGTTCCAGTTCTCTGAACATAATGATCCTCCACATGTTGAGGTTCCAGTTTAAGTGGGCCTGATGGTGAAGGGCAGTCATGGAAGGCCTCCTGGCATCCGTACGAGACCGGAGAGTGGCTGCTGTTTGGCATTGGCAGAGGAGATTTGTCACATTTTTCATGGGCGCACCCCACATACTCAGCTCTACTGCTCATCCCACAAATGCTTGTTCCTCACAAATTTGATACCATTGGAAAGGTAAGAAAACAGGCTTTCCAACAGTATAAGATGTATTGCCAAAATGCATTGTTACAACATAGAAATCATCTACCAAACACAAATTGCCTTTTTGGGTTAAGTTTATTTTCCACCACTTATCTTAGTCAGTTAACAGGGGGATGAGTTTGAGCAGACTGCATCAACCAGATCTGACTGGAGGATTCCAAGGCGCTCCCAGGCCAGCGTGGAGATGTAACCCCTCCACCTGGTCCTGGCTCTGCCCCTCGGTCTCCTAACAGCTGGTATTGACTGGAACCCCTCCCTTGGGGCCAGGTTGCATCCTTACCAGAGGCCTGAGCCACCTCAACTGGCTTCTTTCTACAGGTAAGTTCACTTTTTGTTATTACGGAAGTACATTACCTTACATACAGTTAACAATATGAATCTGTTGCAATGCCGCTTTTGGCCACCAGTGGCAGTACAGTCCTCACTGCTGCTCAGGAGCACTGAAGTCAGTGAGCAAGGAAGAAATCCAGCGCTATCTTTGATTTTACACACGTTTGTTTCATTCAAGACACTTCTATCTGTTGTATTTTGTTTAACTTGCATCTTAATACTTCTTTTTTTCTTATTTTATGAATTATGCCATGTTTCCATCTGAAAGCTGTCCAGGATGAATCACATTTACAAATGTTTCATAATAAACTGCAGTGTTAAGAGTCTGTATCAAAAATAAATGTCAATGTTTCTAATAGTTGCCACTATATTTCGCTTTAATTCGTCATAATGGACATTTTTAGGACCCCAACTCTCAAGACTGAACAAATACAACTTTTTGTATCTGTGTAGTCTTACTTTTATTTCTACCTTACCTTGATTTTTGCATCATTAGAAGACTCCCAGAAGCTCAGAAAAAGTTGGTTATATCCAGGGGTTCACATAACTTTTTTGCCCTGGTTCTCAAAGGAGCACCTGGAGATGTTGCTTGGTGCTCATCCATAAAATGAAATAAACCGTAACTTTTGAGGGGGTCTTGACTTTATTTGCCAGACACACGGCACTGAACACACATGCAGAGGTGAACACAGAACACACATGCAGAGGTGAACACAGAACACACATGCAGAGGTGAACACAAGACAACATTAGCACGACCAGTAATCCTACAAGCCGTCATCACTACCCTCCTGACTGTTCTCCTCACTGTCAGACATGGTAGCTGATGATGTAGGCCTCCTACTTTCTCTCTGGTTGAGTCTGATTAGCTGCTTGCATCCACAAGTCAACAGCTGGTTTTGGGTCGAAAGTCTCTGTTGTCATCTTAGACAAGTGCATGTAATAAAATAAGTATGTGAACATAACCAATAACCTACCATAGCCAATAACAAATTAATGTAACTTATTTTATTTGTGTTGTTCATTCATATCTTATTTTACCTTAACATTTATTTATTTATGCATTTGTTTTATCTCTCCAGTTTTAAAGGATATTTTTGGTTACTGTCTTATAGTATACATTGGAATGATTTCAAACCTGTTCATCCCAATAATTATAAAGGAGTGCCTTGGAAATATGTGTTTACATAAATTGTGACCAAACCGTTTGAACTTAGACTAAAGTTAACTATCTAAACACTCATAGTCCTTTACCTCACTGAGCTGTAGTATCAGCCTCTCAGTCTGACTGGAGAGGACTCTCCCTCCACATTATTGTAGAAACATCTTCTTCTTATATCCGTTTAGAGCAGCTAGCACCAGATTCTAATAACAACAGCGCCTGTACCGGTGCACCCTCCCTCTCTCCCACGCTCACTCGCACTTTAGCTGTGAGCTGCGGGTGCCAGATAAGCCAACATCCCCCATTTTAATCACTTACAGCGCCCATCGTACAGGGCAAATGAAACGTGTAACCGGGGTGAAAAGGGTGTTACATTTACTTAATTATGAATATTGTTACATCAAGGCCAAAAATTAGGATGAGCACCAACGGTCAAAAAAATGTTTTTCCCTCCCAGAACTGCCAGCGCAGCGCCTCCACAGATCTGGCGCCCTAGGCGAACATCTATAACCCTGAGTTCATATGCAACTCACAAATATCTTTCTCTCTTTCTCTCTTCTCTCTCCTCTCTTCTCCGTTCTCTCTCTCCCTCTCTCTCTCAATGTTGGTGCGCAAATGCGCCTTTTTTCAAATGACCCGGTGCTCTTTTTTTGGCGGAGGTGCGCATGCGCACCAGTTATGTGCAGCCCTGGTTATATCAGTAATACACCTGTTGTCCCGATATATGGGCGAGTGGTCTCGGATCGATGAAGGTGTGATGTGGAGCTGCCACAGTTTCTCTGTTGATCTCAGAGGAGAGCAGACAACTCCTCTCTGACAGCCTTATCTCTGTCCTCAGACACATCTTATGGAAGAATATGTGGAGATTTATCTTCAGTTGTGGTACATGTGATGCAGTTTAACAATGAATCTGTGATGTGGATCATAGAGGTGGAAGATGCACTTTAATCTTAAACCTTAAACGCTTCATTATGATTGGATTTCCATCAAATTAGAAACTTAAACTGCAATTAATCCTTAACAGACCAAAGCAAATCAGTAAGCTCTACATTTAAAGTGGTTAATTTAAAGCCATATGTTCCCTAATATTGTAAATAAAAGGCATGAGATCAAATGTAAAGATTCAGAGAAGCCTGATTTTATATTAAGGACTTGCATGTATTTTTCAATGTTGGCTGATCATTGTTTCTGGCATTTGGTTAACACTCAAACAAATATGTTTTATACATACAGGGCTTTTATTGTTTGCAGTAAAGAAAAATAGAGATCTAACAGCTGCTGAATGACCTTCAGAAAAGTCAGAATCTGCATGTTTGTTCTGTGTTCTAAAGCGACGAGTAATTTACAGCGATAAAGTGTCATTGAGAGCTGTCTTTTAAGGTTACATTTAAATGATAACTTGTTCTGTTGTTACCAGAGCTGGAATCAGAGCTGTGGAGTCTTTGGGGGAATGTAGGACCTGGAGTGATCACACACAGCCTGACACAATTAACACCAGGGAAGTAAAGCCTCCATGTTTCTGTGGTTAAACTCACCTGGAAGTGACCTAAAACAAGCAAAGGTAAGATTATTAACTTCATATATAACATGTAAATTATGAGATTTTTTGGTGTCAAAGTATCCTTTATTTATGGATGCTCTGCTCATAGTGACATTTTTGAGTTTGTGGCACATTTTTGTCCCTTTTTTGAGGGACCGCATTCATTTTTTATTCCGTGAAACTTTTTCTTTATTTTTCTTGTCTTCTCTTCTTCACTCCCTTCTTACAAAAGTGTAAAAACTCCCGAAAGAGGAAAAAAACCGGAACTATAATACAAATATTTTATTTTAGGTACATTTAAATTATTCTGCCTCTAAATATATAAAATAAACACCTTTCTATGTGAGTATTTATTATACATGTTGAAGTGAATTTATCTCGTATTTATATTACTTATTTTATATGGGTTTCCGTTAGCCGGTAATTACCGTTTTTTAGCTGGTAACATTTATTAAAAATTGGTAAATTCAAAACCTGCCGGTCAAAATGTCTGGTAATAATTAGGGAGGCTCCGATAGATCGGCCGCCGGTCATTATCGGCCGATATTCACTCTTAAT